GCCTTTATTTGTCGACCAACACGTTTACAATGAAGATCATTCCAGCAGTTAATGATTACACGAGTTACACCGACACAGTATCACATGTGATACTTATTTCAACGTCTGGGCCCGCCTCCGTGGTCTATTGGATAGACCGTCTGCCCTGGCCCATACCTAAAGACGTTAAAAGATGGTACTTGTTGTAACCCTGGCTAGCGTTCGGAATTGAGGGTATAAAGCAAGAAGCGGTCGGCTCGGGGTCAGTATACTGAGTTGGGTATCCATGTAAAACTGCGGCATGGTATCTCAGTGAGCTAGCACTATTAAACCGAATTAGCATGAGCAGCAACGTCGCCATATGAGTGAAATTATTTTTGAACGCAAAGCGTTAAACCCCTTGTCAACACCATGGTACTGACTGGAACTAGACACAAGACAGTGGAGCATAGCTATTAATATTAAAGCCATTTGGGCGGAATTCTGTAACACTTATGTCAAATCGCCGTACTTCACTGCGAATTTTATCAAATATTCGGAAGTTAATCTTGGATTTTGTTTCTCTCATTGTATTGAAAATGATATATCTTAAGGCATCGTTTTCTTTAATTAGCAGCATACGTGTAGTGTTTTGTGACTGGAAGTATTAGTATTTGAGTCCAACCTGCTTATCTTTGATATTCTGCTTTTACGTTTCATTAATGGAAATCAAATATGTCGCAAATATATCATCTTAATCAACTTTCAAAGTCGAATTAATAGTTTCAGCAGTAATGTAAACATATTTTATTTATCGACTTACATTGCAGTGAATGTCACTACACAATGGCTCTTCAACTTTCCAAATCTCTATGATTCCATAGCTATTACCATAGCTACAATGCCATAGAAATCACACACACCAAAGAAGTTTAAAGAATGTGTATACAGAAACCATATCAATATGAAAAAAGATTACTACATAAGAAAACAAACCGTGATATGCAATGCAGCCTATTCATAAAACGGCTCTTGAAGAACCGAGAAGAACCACCAGATCAGACCAATGTGATTATTGGGCAGGATTATCTTTCATCTGTCATAATGGAATTGTCGAATCTCCGATTGATGTAGCATAACAATGACAACTGAGGCTGTGATTTCAAAGACCGGTGGCAAGTTGTGCGTTTGTTAGAACTTCAAAGATCGACGTATAGCAATTTGTTTTGACAGGAATTGATAGGAAATATTTTCTTGTTGATCTGGACAATGAAAAGGAATATAACTCAAAATATGATTGATGCCTATGTAGTCAAGTGTTAGCTATGCATAAGGTTTGAATAGATGACGTGTAATTAAAAATGTTGACGTTATATGTTATTGATGTTATGAATTACATTCTAATCTATGCATGTAAATACTTGCTTTCTTTAAATGTCAGACTCAATTTAAATAATCCATTGTACCATTTTTAATTACAAAGTACATGACGTTTTCAAGAAACATTTTGGCGGACTTTCAAGATCATATAATGCCTACTTCACGTTTTGGAAATGTCGATGCAATTCAAAAGACAAAACACTAATTTCAAAACCATACAGGTACAAATATTTGGAAAAAAATATGTTTATGTTTTCCACATTCATGTGTGCAAACGTCAACACATCTACTAAATTCTTTAGTGAGTGAGCTAGGTTTTATGTCGTCTTGATCACTATTTCATTTAATAAAACTTCGTGTATGCTAAATGCTTGAGACTCGTCGGTGATGACGCGAATTTTATGTTTACCACGTAACACCCACGAGCAGGGTGCTGACAAAGGATCATATTCGGAACAAGTTTAGGATTCGACCCCACGATCAACTGATCATGGTATTACTAAGGGACGCAACTCAACAATGTGTCTACTCCAAATATTGAACTGATTGTTGCTTAACTGTTGTATTAATCAGAGCAAAACTGCACAGATGTTTATATGTACGTTTAGTTTTAGACTTGCACGTGGGTACCACATTTTCCTTGTTTGCCTCTACCTCTCTCCCCGTTTGTGCTAACTGACCAGGGGAGGGGATATTTTTGCCATCACTATTATTAGTTTAATGTATCAAGGCTAAGTGAGACGTAATGAACGCAAATAACACACTGGTGATGAGAAGTACTTTTCAATATCCTCGTAACCTCTTACTTCATAAGGGCAGAAGCCATAGATCAATATTTAGACCCATCTTATTGACTCGGAAGTCATTACAAATCCTCCGGTTCTGGACTTACTGAGCAGAGCAATTGAGACAAAATGATTTGCACTATTTCTCAGCCGTATTTGATCAATTTAACCTCATCCAGATTTCTATATATCTAAGTCTGAGGCCTTCACACCATGGAATGAAATCCACGATAGGTTTCTACTGCTGGACTTCCCCAGCAAATATTCTGATTAAGTCCCACTGACTGTTTTGAACTTCAGGGCAGCCTCGGTCATTCAAATAAGCTGGAAAGGATTGATAAGGAGAACACTCCCGCCAGACAGACAGATATAACGGTTACTTCAGTACATTATTTTCTCGTCATCACTATTTCCGGGATTGCATGACCTAGTTAGAAATACTGACGTTCTTACTGCCAACATTGTCTGCTCTGACGTGATAAGGTAGTACCTTTCATTAACCGACTCTCCGACCTTCAGTTTTGTCCAAAGATCCACAATTGTAATGATTCATTTCTCGGATTTGGAAATAGAAATGTGTGCATTATTCTTGGAGTCTTTTGGTGTGTTTTATATTTAGACATGTAGAAATATTATACACAAGTTTCAAAATGCACGGCTTTGCATTGAATTAGAGAGGTGTACTGTACTAATAAAGTAAATACGAGTTTTAGACGTGCGGTACATGTATATGCTTTAATGATACGACATTTAGGTAAACTCGGTTTATCATTTCCAATGACGCGATTGGCCGTGGGGAGAACGAAGATTTGGTCTTGCATCACAAGTGTAATTGATGCTGAAGCACCTAGGGTTTTCTTTTGTGCAATATATATTGAATTTTATCCCCATCTATTCCTCTTATCTCTAACCACATACCTCATAATTCCTAACAAGGCTGTACCTCATCTCACCTTTTGTAAGATATCCCTGGAGAGCCATATAATACTCGGATCCCATAAAGTGCTTTCATAGTCACGGACACGCATACATTTTTCACAGGGAGATATAAAACTAGATATCCCTCAGAAGTTCCCGCGGTTCAATTAAATCAGCATTGGATTTCCTCATTATTTGTAATTCTAACAAAACGACGCCGTTCATTATTTTGGCCCCAAAAATGTTGTTCCCAAGTGAATAGCCAGACGATTCTAATTTCAATAGTGTCGGAGCTCATCGGTTCAGAATCTAGGAGAATGTATCTGTGATGTGACCGTGGACTCAACCAACAGCACATCCTTACTGACGCCAGAAAATACTTGCAGCTTGCAGTTTGGAAATAATTCATAACAGCTTTTTATCCTTCCTTTTTTGCAATCATGAATAAAGATGTCCCTAAATAATTGCCATGGAGCACGGATATTTGTTACTGAGCTGTCTATGATATAGAGTGTGATTCCTCAGTCTTGATCGTTATAATTATGGCGGATAAATGTTTAAGTACTATATTGAAAATATTTGATCATCAACTTTATCAAGATGCATTGTCGCAACAGAGTCCATATACATGTCCTGCAAAAACCTCATTAACTTCGGAACGTTGCTGGAACTCTACCAGGCACTATACGCTCACGCGCCTCTCCTGCATTTCAACTTGCAACGAATATAAAACTTCTAATCGCAGTGTAATGAAAACATTCATAACAAGGTTGCTGTGTTTACTCACTCGATTTTAACTCGACACCAATCAACACCTGATATTTGAAAAAAAAATCAAAATATTCTACAAGTGAAATATTCCTCAATGCAGCCATCACCATGATTGGCTCTTCCGCATTTTTTTGTCTATGAAATGTGACATAATTCCAACGCACAATTCATCAGGTGCCCAGCAGATTGGAAGAAATAAAAACGTAAGTAGCTCGTTAGTCCGAGAAGGATTACAGACCATCAATAATCGCTACACAAATGTTATTCGTTTTCGGATCAAGGTATGATAGGCACGGACTTCAAAAGCACGCCTTGAGTTGAATTAGTAGCTGTCTGGACAACGTACAACGAATTAATGCATCAATGTATGCCCTTGTGTGTAATGAGGTAATGGACGACCAGAAAGCATGATGGAGGATCGTCTGTTTGTACCCAGGTCAGCAGGCGACACATACAACTGGCGTGTTCTTAATGACGCGTCATCGACAAACAGGCACAAATCTGGGGGGGGGGGGGGGGGGGGGGGGGGGGTACAAGTAGATGCATTGGATTACGGCTCAGTGTTACTCACTGGTGATGATGATGACACATCATAACTGTACTAATAGATCATTGATGTGTAGAAGTGATAATGTGAAAGATACACAACATGAAAATTAGTAGTTAAGAAGCTGGAAAGAGGTTTTAACCTTACGATAAAAATGGGCACTTGTTTTCGTTCCTGCTTGACTGGTTCTACTGGGGTTATGGCATAAGGTAGAGAATGCCAAGTGAGAAAATGATATTGCACATACATGTATTATCTGTGTCATGACCCACCCGGAAGCGAAGGGTATGCTGTTTTCACTCTCGTGCGCTATTGTCGCAATTACATTGTGCGAGAGGATTTGGGTATATATATAATGCGCCATTTCACACAAGTGTATGTTCAAACCGCGAAACAATTATTAACCGGGTTAATGGATTAGAGTGCTTTCGAGTATCCTCCTCATGATCAGTTCCCTGGAGGGATACAAATCCAACTGCCTATTATGTGCTAGAATGTTAATAGTTACCTTCTCATTCTACCGGTCACCCAATTGCTGCTCGGTGAACAAAGGCATATTTCGAACAAACTTTCTTGCTTAAGGAGACACCATGTGAAACATGAGTTTCTGTATGGACAAGGGCCGAACCCCAAGAAACTCACCCAAACTTACCCACCGTCGCCTATCCAACTACCCGAGATCAGCGTTGCTTAACTTCGCCTGATTTGTGACCTCTGCGTTTTTCATGTGACCACGTGCCATAAAAAAGAGGTAAACGTTCTCATATTAGCCAATCAAATTCCATCCAATTTGTGTGACAAAGTTTGTTATGATAGCTGTTTTCGTAGTACCACGTGGGAAATAGAAAGTTACATAGTCCTACTTGTTGGCATAAGAATGTTCAAATATCATTTATATGAAAACACGTTTAGACACGTATGATAGCAGTACAGGTTTCGTGCCGAGACCAATTGAAGAGCCATTCAAGACACCCACGGATAGTGACTGTGAGTGACTGAGTGACATGTAAAGCTTGTGAAGAAGATCAAGTTATACTGATAAGCAAAATAGGCATCTAACGAAGGCAAATCGACTATTTGACTCGGAAAACATTCTCTCAATAATATGGTCTCAGTCTGATTATACACCAAGGTCAAGATCACAAGAGATACACCAATTGTCAATCAGTAATGATGAATTTTAACAGTTCATACCTAAGCTCAATGTTCTTAAAGTAAACTGTAAAGAACCCGGTATATGTGTATTGCCTGAACTGTTTGTTGGTTTGATGTGACTCAAAGATTATAATATTAATTCGCTTCATTGTGACTGCTTTTATGTCCATGCGACAACATCAGTACTGCTTCGGTAACAGACAGTATTGCTTATCAGTCACTGCAAGGCATAAATTATTAAAATGTTTTCAGAGCAAATATCACTATATCGTTGATGTTAAAGTGGCATTCTAATGTGGCAGCTACGCGTGACTTGATGACACCTATGAGCGGTTGATCAAGAAGAGAACAACTGTGAGAATTGTTTTCCAAAATCACACACTGTTTGTCTGCTCGTCTTGAATCACATTTTGAAAACATAAACCTAATCGGAATTGGATTTAAACAACATGAGTTGTTGTACTAATTCTAACAAATCATCTCTCCTTGTGTGTAAGTCCAGAATTATTGTAATTAGCTTTGACCATTTGCATGGAAACGTCAAAATAGTGAAAATACAGAGTTGGGCATCCTCATAATTGCAAGATTCATATGTGTCGGGAGAGCAGAATTTTTTCTCGAACTACTATGTGTTTTCTGGAAAAGGATATTAGCATTCCATATATGCATTTTTGCGCATTGGTTAATTCTGATGTAATGTAATTCTGGGATGGGTCAAATGGCAAATATGGCAGACACTTCAAGTCCTTATTGAAGAGAGGCTATGTTCCAAAATCTGGCACCCATTTTAGGATTTGTGTGATGAGTGACTAACCTCACATTCGACACTGTTTGTATTAGAGTAATAAGAAACTGCTAGATTGATATAGATCATAAAATTTTAGTTTGAAAACATAGTTTACAGACTTGAATTTAATTTGCTTTGACTATCAGTTAGAGGCTGGACTACCTCTAAATATTCAAATAAATTATGATTACTGGACACTGTTAAAAAATTACTCCACATAGACTTACTTCTACAAATCTCCACGTGATCTCATATGTTTTACCCAAAAGAGCAAGTTTAGGCCAGATTTAAATTAAAATAAACAATTACTTCTGTACTGACATTCACCAGATATAACAGATAAATCCCTAGCATAAATTAAGTGGAGTTACGTTCACCTGACTGGCATATGCTGCCTTCCTAGTTAGAAATGTTGACATCGCTGTGTAAAACTAGAAAGGACGGACGCGTACTTCGTATTCTTTCAGCTGTAGAGAGGTTAGCTCCTATGACATTTAGTTGTCATTTTCTTATTGAAGCATGCTCAGTTAGCTCAATCAAAAATTAAAATATGCATAATCGTGTTTCTTATAAAACTGTCACTCATGTTACCTTCTTCATTGACCTTCATTATATTTCAGTTGATCGGTCATCTGGCTTATCGTCATGGACGAATGATATATTTTTATGTGACACTGAGATGAGCCATGGGAACAGGTCCATGTGCAACATCTGTCAACAGTATCAAGTCTTTCTCAATGCTAACGTTTAGAGGTTAATGTAGATATGTCGTGAAGACCTGCCAAGTACATGCCATTTGGCCAGGGTGAATGACTGATAGTTAAACATAGTTTATTGGTCGAATTTATAGAAGAGAAACAAATACTGTGCAGACCTACTTCTACGTGTAGAATGAACAGAGTGTATATTATTCTGTGCGTTCTGATACGATTGTATTGCTGCTCTGATTTCGATCAAGGAAAGTGTTTGGGTCAACTGTTAGTCATAGACAGCACTGTTGCAAAATGCTATACTAGTCCAAACGTAGTTGTTAATGTCTGTGTATGGTGACGCACTAATTCGAGTGTAAAGCTTCCCAGAGTCCCCCCAGCCAAACACAAGGCTCATTTCATTCCCCGAATACTTTCATAATTAGGCCCTATTGTTGAACCACAAATTGAAGATGACTGTGAGGTCTACATGTGAGGTCAACAGAGTTCAATATGTCTTGCTGATCTTGGGTCTTGTGCTTTGTATGTCATCTAATCTATTTTTCATCCACAAACATTCAACCTCCTCGGTATAGGTGAAGGGATAAACGTGATACTTTGGATGGGCTCTGTTAAGGAACAACAATTATATTCGATTTGGTCGTGACAATGTAGACCACAAACCCACACAAAGAACACAGGATCCAGAGAAGTATTGTGTTCATATGTTACAAAACAGTAGGTGTTTAGGATTTTGTCTTGAATTGCCTTTTAAAATAATATTGTGTCAATGCGCAGGCTATAACATTTTTCTGAAATTATTTGAAATATATTGATGGGGACAATGCGTACGTTTTAGATGGAAAAAATAAGAATGTGTATTCTGATTGATAAATCAAAACAGATCCTATAGGAACCATACTTAAATCTACATATGTAGCCATAAGTCAACTTTATGGTTTAATCAGTGATGAAATACACAACAAAGACAAATATACTCTATATGTTTAATTGACTCTGATAAAGATTTTTGGTTTGAACATATTGCTTTCATACAGCTACCTGGGTTTTCTGTATTATAGTTTGTACAACGGGAAGGACAAACAGGGGTAAGTATGTTCGCTATACTCAAATCCTAATATGTACAACCTGTTTACGTTACATCCATATACGACTTCATTCAACCAAATCTATATGGAGTGACAACGATGCTGTTATGGTTTGTTCAACACGTGGAGACAAACTAATGCTTGGTCCTCTGCCAAAACTATGATGTTGTTTGGGTTGTGGACAAGATTTCGTATCTAAGTAAGGATTAGATAGCGTGTGGTACCAGTAATCAATCTTGCATGTTCTTCGCAAACTGATGAAACAACTTCTTTGATAGGCATTCAGAAGATGGAGTACTAAGTAAAGATAGGAATTATGGATGAACAACTTCTTTATTACAATTAAGAGCGACGTTTCGGTGTAGGTTCTGACAACGTTATCAAGTTGTATACAGGTAGGAGGCAAGGTTTATACAGAAGAGTAGATATTAGATGTAGTTATACTGGAGTGGAGAATTCTGTCACTATGCCTCCAACCACCACCCTCAAGTCAAGAAAGGAATTATTTCAACCCTAGCGAGACGAGCTCACAACATCTGTTCTACGAAGCAACATCTAACCACTGAACTAAGCCATCTCAAACAAGTATGTTCTAAGTATAACGTCTACCCTGAGCAATTAATACAACAGACGATACAGAACATCACCAAGAAATATCAGAATTCTCCCCGTCAACTGCCTACACCTTTTGTGATCAGCCTCCCCTATTTTGGAACAGTTAGCCACAAAATCCAGAGACTCTCAAAGAAACAGGCCAACATTGATGTAGTTTTCAAGAGAAGTCATACCATTCAGAACACAAAAAGTCACAGGGAAACCACCATCCAGCCAAAACCTAACACCATCAGGACCAGTGTACCACATTCCGTGCAATTGTGGACAAGGTTATATTGGAGAAACATCTAGGTCCCTCAAAACCCGAATTAAAGAACACCACAGCTTAGTCTCCAAAGATGACTCCAAATCAGCTCCATCAGACCATATCCCTGACAACATAAGCCACAGCATTCAGTGGATAAAGTCAAAGCCCATACCACCAACCCCAAAGACTTCAAAATCAGAAAAAGACCATACCACCAACCCCAAAGACTTCAAAATCAGAAAACTTCAAGAAGCCATCAAAAGACTCCAACCGTCGATCAACCGTGACCAAGGCTATTACATACCCCCGGCGTAACATCAACTCATCAAAGACTCCAATCAGCCATAAACCTGTTGTTTATAATACTGGCTTCACCCTTTTGTTTATGTTACTGACTTCGCCGATAATTTGTGTACATAACAGGCTTCTCCACTCCAGTATAACTACATCTGATTCTACTATACTGTATAAACCTCCAACCTATATATTTACTTGTCAACCATACTCTGTATATCACTTGCTTATACCGAAAAGTTGCTCTTAATTGTAATAAAGAAGTTGTTCATCCATAAATCCTATCCTTACTTGATGAAACAACGCTTAAAAATGATGGTTTACGCAATTTACATGTGTTAATGGGTTCAGAGTTAAACACGCATGTTGGCACGGTTAGAAACAGATTCATGGCTGTGTTGATGTTTCAAACTGAAAACATGACACGTCTTTTTAGAAATATATAACATAGCGTTGAAATATATCTGTAGTGTTAACATTATAGGAATTAGGTCGAACAAACTCTTAACACGCACGCACGCTAAGGCGCTGACAGATTATGGATGGATGCCTGTGGTTGTATAATCGTTTTTCTTCCCTTCCTCTCACGTAAATCCTACTGGTACAATTAGTAATCAACACATTTCTTCAGTTCGAGGATTTTTATTCCTACTGGTACAATTAGTAATCAACACATTTCTTCAGTTCGAGGATTTTATACACAGACTCAATGTGCGGTCTTATGTATGATACTCCTATAACCATCCAAACACAAAACCAAAACCAACTAAACACAAAAAAATTCACATTTGAACATCTGTATTGTGAAAACTTAATTACTTTTAAGCCCCGAAGACTACGTTACGTGAACACCAAAGATCTCAAAAGTTTTCTTATACCAGCAAGTTAAGAGGTTCAACATAATATGTCAATGTTTAGGAGCACGATTTGGACCAAAACGCATTAAATCGTAACTTGTCTAATACAGTCTGCCAGTTCTATCATATTTGATGAAAATACCATGGTATAGTTATTGTAATAGTTACAAAAACTATTTCAATCACCCATGTAATGGATAAAAAAAGTATCAACACCAATAGAACAAAACAACGTAATACTGAATCGTAATAAACTCAAATGGGAGTTGAGTTCACTGAGTCTAGCTACGCTCTGTGACTGTAACTTGTGTCTTAAAAGTTCGTGAGATTTATGTGAACACATTTTTTAGCCATTCGAATTATATGATGTGGGTTCTTATTGATTTTTGTCTGAGACAAAACGCGTAACACAAGTATTGAGGTAAGTGCACATGATACATCGATCGGCTAAAAAGCGACAAGAAGCCTTTTTCGGACCTGCAGTATATTTTTTAAATGATAGCGGTGGGGTGATGCTTTTAATTTGATTAAACAGCGACCCAGAGGTTGCTTTTTCCCAAGTGTCAAGGCAAGACAACAAAGAAATAAACACGAGTGATGTATAACTTTTTAGACATGCAATAGCCACCTTCACTTCTTTCTTCACCATTCAATAAACGAGCACCGAAACACTGGGATCATTTGTTAGGATGGTTTCCGTGGGGCGTTTTGATCTATCGTCTTGATGGGATAATGAAGTATTGAATGATACGTTTTAGCCATGAACTGAATTAACAATTCGTAACTACAGTTTTAAAAAATATATTGATGAAAAATAGGAGCGATTCATTATTATTATTAAGTTAGGTCGATTGCTTACAAGGACCTGAGCTGAGAGACTGCAACGACCTTGACTACATCTGGATGAGGCAGACACTGGTTGGCAGTATGCACATTACACAGCTGTTGTATCAACCAAAACATAACACACAAGATTAATTCTACAATGTGTACAATGATTTTAGTTTGATATTTCTTGTATAACTATATTTGAAATAATTTCTAGTTCTCACGACACGAACGATGGTTTATACAATATGTATTTAGAGTTGTTCAAATATATCATATTTTCTAATTTCAACAATAGTGTTGGAACTCATCGGTGTACAATCTAGCACAATATAGATATGATGTAACCGTGGACTCAACCAGCATATCCTTATCAGTGCCAGAGAATACTTGCAGCTTGCAGTTTGGAAATAATTCATAACAATTTTTAATCCTTCCTTTGTTGCAGTCATGAATAAAGATGTCCCTAAATAATTGCCATGGAGCACGAAGATTTGTTAGGAAGCTGGCTTGATGTAGAGTGTGATTCCTCAGCCCTGATCACTATAATTACAGCGGATAAATGTTTTAGTACCTATTGAAAATATTTGATCATCAACTTTATTAGATGTATGCATTTTCGCAACAATGAGGGGATTGTTTACATGTCCTTTAAAAACTTCATAAACTTCAGAACGTTGTTGGGGAACCCTAAAACACACACACATCTCCTGCATTTCAACTTGCAACGAATATAAAACTTCTAATCGCAGTGTAATGAAAACATTCATAACAAGGTTGCTGTGTTTACTCACTCGATGATAACTCTGCCACCAATCAACACCTTGTATTGAAAAAAAAATCAAAATATTCTACAAGTGAAATATTCCTCAATGCAGCCATCACCATGATTGGCTCTTCCGCATTTATTTGTCTATGAAATGTGACATAATTCCAACGCACAATTCATCAGGTGCCCAGCAGATTGGAAGAAATAAAAACGTAAGTAGCTCGTTAGTCCGAGAAGGATTACAGACCATCAATAATCGCTACACAAATGTTATTCGTTTCGGATCAAGGTATGATAGGCCGGGACTTCAAAAGCCTGCCAACTGAGAAAATACAATTGCAGATATTATCTGAATCATGCCCCACCCGGGAGCGAAGTGTATGCTCTTTGCACCTTCGTGTGCTATTGTCGTAATTACGTAGTACTAGAGCATGTGGAAAAATGTATACATCGTGCACTGTATCCATATCACACTTGTGTAATACTATGCTCTTAGAGCGAAACCATTATTACCGCGGTTAATGGATTTGTGTGCTCTCGAATATCAGTCTCAGCTCCCTGGGGGTAACAACCTAAATCTGCCTATTAGCCAATAGAATGTTAACAGTTAGCATCTCATACTACCGGGTGTCCAAACGTTGCCAGGTGAACGGAGGCTTATTTCGAACAAAATCACTTCTTAAGCTATCATCGCATGTGACGTGTGTTTCAAAATAGAGCAGACCCGAACCACGAGAAACCATAAGGAAAACCCACGTCCTGATCCAACTACTCCCTGAAACTAACGTTGCTTAACTTCGCCTGATTTGTTTACACATGATCACATGCCACCAAAAGTAAAACCAAGTTCGTGTATCAAATTCCATGGAATTTTATGATAAGGTTTGTTATGATAGCAGTTTATGTAAGTAATAGTAAGTTATATAGTCCTGCTTGTTGGCAGAAGAATGTTCAAATATAATGTAATAGGATATCGTGGAAACACGGTTAGATATGTATGAGTTAGCAAAATAGAGTTCGTGTCCGAGCTCAGTTGAAGAGCCATTTAAGACACCAACGTATACAAGAGCAAAGTTTACAAAATCTCCAAATTTCATTCACACATGTACTGTGAGTGACTGAGTCTCCTTTAGACATTCAAAGCTTGTGAAGAAGATCAAGTTATACTGATAAATAATTGAATTTAACTCCAAAGAACAACATTTGAATGAAGCAAATCGACCATTTAACCAGGAAAAAAATGTCTCAAACATGGTGGTCTCCGTCCGATTTCATTTGTGGTAATTTCCAGGAAGGTCAAGATCACAAGTGATACACCAATTATCAATCGGTTATGATAACCAGTACAGTACTTATTGTCTTGGAGAAATCGGACATGATACATGGTCTA